CGCGAGGGCCCCCAAATGCCGCAAACGACGAACACCCTTTGTCTTCATTTGTCGATGCTTTGGAAATCTGGGGATGTTACTTTTCCCTCATATAGCTTGTCGCTTGATGGCTCTCATAGTGATAGGTAAAGAGAAGAGAAGAGTCCCACCGAGGGGACGGGGTGACCAAGACCGCTCCGCCGAGACCGCCCGCTCTGGCAGTCGTTTTGCGTTTCAACGGGACCTTCATCACAACTTACTCAGGAACCGCGCTCTCGCCTGAATGCTGGCTACACTCTTGGCCGGGCCGGCCACGGTCCTGGTAAACAGACGCAAGAAGGTGCACATGACCGTGCTCTCCGTGCTCTTCCTGCTCTTGGAATCGTGATGCCAAAACTCCACTCGCGCGTACGATTCTGACACACAAGAGCACACCCTACGGCACTTCCGGCTCCTCGTGCTGCCAGAACTCTGCTCCCGCGAACGCTCCTGATGCAGCAGCGAACACCCTGCCTCACTACGCGCGTTCCCTAGGCATCCCCAGGAAAACAAGAAATGATACACCTTTTCCCTCGCCGACCTCCCACGCCTCGACCCGCCCCGTCGCCTTTGCTGATGTTCGGGTGCCCTGCTGGGGTAAATGCTTTCTTCCTCGAGCCGGGGCCCCCAGAACTCTGGACGACTGCCCGGGGACTGTTTTTTCCCCTGCTCGTTTTTCGACGGTCTTGGCGCCCAGCGGGGGCCCTCACGCCGACAACGACGACAAACTTCCGCCTTGTGTTTGAATGCCTTGGCGGTCTGGGGATATTGCTATTTCTGGAGGCCTTCTACAAGGGGTCAACGTAGATAGGGTCGGGGGATCGCAACGAATAACCGATGCATGGCCAATGCATCGGCGACGTCGACGTGGAGAAAATCGGGCTCCACATCCAGCCACATCGCCGATGCAACGGCGATGCGGCGCGAGCGACCCTCCGACCCCATCTGCTCCGATCCCATTTGGGAGACCTCGACTCGGGCCAAAAGTGTGTCATGAGAAGATTGGCTCAGGACGCCTTCCAATATTTCCAAAACGTATCTAGCGGCGCAGCCGGTGCGGAACACGGGGAACTAGGATGAGGCCTGGAAAACTTGGAACTCCTGGAAGGTATCATTGTCATGACCTATTGCTTCTCCGACACAATGGAATCCCCCACCACAAGAAACCTTCACAAGACACCCAACCCTGGGGCCCCAGGACGCCCATTGATTTTTGGCGTGGGAAGGCCTCGCTCTCCATAGCAAAACCACCGGAGCCCGAGAAACCAGAGGCAACCTTGGCATGGGTCTGCTCTGTAGACTTGCCACCCCTCGGGCCCTGCCCTCCAGCCACCGCAGCCCGCCCGCCGTGCACAGCCGCGCCGCGCGCTGGCCCCGCTCGGCCGCCGCCGCGCCCGCCTCGCCCGGGCCGGCGACGCCCGCGCCGCGCAGCGCCCCCTGCAGCGCCTGCGCCCGCAGGGCCCAGGCGCGGCAACCGGCCTGCAGCGCGAAGAGCCTCCGGCGAGAAGGAGGTGCAGTCGTCGCGCAAATGAGGAGGACGAGGGGGAGGAGGAGGAGGAGGAGGAGGAGGAGGAGGAGAGGAGGAGGAGGAGGAGGAGGAGGGAGGAGGAGGAGGAGGAGGAGGAGGAGGAGGAGGAGGAGAGGAGGAGGAGGAGGAGAGGCGGGAGGAGGAGGAGGCGGAGGAGGAGGAGGAGGAGGAGGAGGAGGAGAAGGAGGAAGAGGAGAGGAGGAGGAGGAGGAGGAGGAGGAGGAGGAGGAGGAGGAGGAGGAGGAGGAGAGGAGTGAGGAGGAGGAGGAGGTGGAGGAGGAAGAGGAGGAGAATGAAGATGGAGGAGGAGAGGAGGAGGGGGAGGGAGGAGTGGAGGAGGAGGAGGGGAGGCGGAGGAGGAGGAGGGAGGAGGAGGAGGAGGAGGAGGAGGAGGAGGAGGAGGGGGACAGGAGGGAGGAGGAGGGGAGGAGGAGGAGAGGAGGAGGAGGAGGAGGAGGAGGAGGAGGCGGGAGGGGGGAGGGAGGAGGGGAGGGAGGAGGGAGGGAGGGAGGGAGGGAGGGAGGAGGGAGGAGGGAGGAGGAGGAGGGGAGGCGGGAGGAGGGAGGAGGGGGAGGGGGGAGGAGGGGGAGGAGAAGAGGAGGAGGAGGTGGAGGAGGAGGAAGAGGAGGGGAGGAGGAGGAGGAGAGGAGGAGGAGGAGGAGGAGGAGGAGAGGAGGAGGAGGGAGGAGAAGGAGGACGACGAGGAGGACGACGAGGAGGAGGAGGAGGAGAAGGAGGAGGGAGGAACAGGAGGAGGAGGAGGAGGAGGAGGAGGAGGAGGAGGAGGAGGAGGAGGGAGGAGGAGGAGGACGGGGAGGAGGAGGAGGAGGAGGCAGAGGAGGATGAGTGCGGATGAGTGCGGGCCAAAACGGATCACGACCGCCTACGCTTTCGTGCCGTGGGAGCCTCGGGCCGCTCCGGGCCGTCCCCGAGCCAGACCCTCGACTCCAGGAGCCCCTATAGGGGCTGGTTGGTGGAGGGGTGTAGCCCGCTCCACATCCGCTTCAGCCTACCCCCGATCACCCTTTGGGCCCCGGGGCGACATGGAGAGAATAGGCCCGTCCACATGTCACGGGTGTACCTGGCACACCTGCGGCAAAAGACGTACGTGCTGCGGGTCACTATTTTGTGCCCCGCTCTCTGGGCTCTGTCGACCCTGGTGCACCCCCAGTCCAGAGCGGCCCGAGACGGGAGGTCGGCCTCCAGGGGCGGGGCAGGGAGCTCAGGGCCACCAGGGCCCCGCCCTCCTCGCCCACAACCGCCCCCAGGTTCCCAGGAAGGTCCAAGGGGTCCAAGGGGGGGTCGGGGGGGTTCGAGTCCGTGGGACTCGAGCCCTGCTCAGTGTCGACAATGTCACGGCCCAGGACTCCTATGTAGGCTCCGAATTCCAAGATGTCCCGAACCAGTCGATACTTCTGAATGCCGGCCTCTCTAGACCAGACAGGGTGGGTATGATACATCGCTCCCTGCTTGGCATACTGATCAGCTATTCTGTTGCCCTCCCACTGCGCGCGCCCGATAGCTGCTCGCTCGGTGCGCGTCGCGGGGGCTTTCACTTTCAGCACCTGCACGGTGCTCGGGCCCAGGCCTCCGAGCTCTGCGATGGCCTGTGAGATGCACTCCCAGAGGTCGAGGTGCGGGCGGCTCCTCTTGTCGAGCCACGCTGGTCCTGCCATCACGCCGTCGACGACGTTCTGGCAGTCGGTGAAGATGCGCATGGGCGGGGTGCCCACGCGCAGCGCCTGCAGCAGCGCGTAGAGCTCCGCCCGCAGGATGCTCTGGGCCCACTGTGCGCCAGGGAGGGGCCCGTAGCACACGTAGTCCATGTCGTACTCGTCGTTGTCCTTGAGCTTGGTGAAGCTCCATCCTCCTCGTCGCAGTGGTGCGTAGTCGCCGAACTGCAACGAGCCGTCCACGTAGACGTCCCCTGTCGCGAAGCCGTCCCAGTTGCCCTCGGTGGGCCAGTCGTCAGACGAGGCTATCTCCCAGAGCCTAAGCTCGTCGGCGGGGTCAGCCGTGATGCCGCGTCCCCAGAGAGCATCGGCTCCTGGGCCTGGCCAGGGGTTGGCTCCTCGCTGCTGAGTATGGTGGCCTCCGACAGCGTCGCGGTGTGGCTGGCGCACTGGGCGCACGATGGTGCGGTGCCTGTCAGTGCCTGGTGCCAGCCCGCACGCTCTGCATGTGTTGTCGGTGGCAACTCCTGATGCGTGCAGCCGCGCCTGCGGCCACGTCCCTCCGCAGAATAGGCCCCTCACTCGAGTGCGGTGGGCCTGCGCCCATCGGCCCTGGAGGGGCCGCCGTAGTAGTGCCTGCACTGGTGCCGGGAAGATGGAGGTGATGCCGTACTGGCGGCCGTGCTGGCTCACTCACTCGTCCTGCAGCTGCTTCTCCGTGGTGCGCACGACGTGGTGCTGGATCTCCTGCAGCAAGGTGTAGCGGAGGTCGAGCACGTTCCCGTCGATGGTCACTGTGTGCGAGGCCTGCGTCATCCAGCCGAGGCGCCCGACCGTCGCCACGAACGCCCCCGCTGGCCCCCGAACTGTGAGCCAGGGGGCCTTGCACTTGTATATCTTCATCATCCAGGTGCGCCGCGCGCCCTGGAGCCGCGCGGCCAACTGGTCGTCGTCGAGCGCTTCCTGCCACGCCGTGGCCCAGGCGATGATGGGGCCACTGTTGGCGAGGATGCCTGGGTCGGTCCTGTCGCTGAGCAGCGTGAGTGCCGTGGACATTCCCTTGTTGTTGCCCTCCATCGCCGCCGCCACGTTCCTCCTGAGCTCGGTGAGCTTGGAGTCTGCCATGCCGACGACTGAGGATCCGTATAGGAGGGCTGGCACTTTGGCTTGTCGAATCAGCTTGTGTGCCGCTCCTCCTGCTCTGCGCACGGCTGTCACCCGTGCCTTTCTCGCTGCAAACTTGAGCGCCCGCTTGTTGATGGCGGCCACTCTCCTCCGTCTGCATGCTGTTGCTGTCACTCCGAGGTGCTTCTCGTGCGTGGCTACTTTCACGCCGAGGTGACTGGTACTCTTGTGGATGTGCTGGCCCAGCGCGGTGGAGGAGGCCAGGGTGACCGTCTGCCCCTCCGCGCCGCGCGAGACGGCCATGTCCAGCGTGGTCTCGAACATGGTGACCACGGCCTCGATGAGCCGCGGGTGGGCCTCGTCAGCGTACTCGTGCCTGCCGTGCGTGGCCATGGCGAAGTCGTCGAAGAAGAGACACGTGTCCGCCCAGGGGAACTGGTGCACCAACCTGTCCAGCTCGAGGATGATCACCATCTTGAGACAGAACGGTGCGTACCTGCTGCCCGCCACGATGCCCCGCTGCCATGCCTTGCCGTCGGTGTAGCACCCGTCCAGGACGATGCGCCGCACCATGCTGTAGATCTTGAGGACGGTCCGCATGGTGATTGGATTGAACCCCATCTATGCGACGCCTCCCACACCTTCCGATGGGTGGCCTACTCGAAGCACTTGATCAAGCCGAAGTATGTCACCGCATAGTCGTGCCCGTCGGCCCGCGCGGCCTCGCAGTAGAGTGCCTGTAGCCAGGCCGCGCGCTCCGACGATCTCCCTCGGCGTGCCCAGTCATAGGCTCGTTTGGTTGCTGCCTCCCAGCGCCTGGCGTAGGGGATGCGGATGGTCTCCCACACGCGCGCCAGCTCAGGGATAAGGCCCAGGTTGCGAAAGCCACCTGCCGCCTTCGGCGTGAGGTAGAAGAGGATGGTGGCCTGCGACGTGGGCCACGGCGCCCCTCGCTCCACCGCATTGAGCACGCTTGCCACGCGTGCCGTACCTGAGAACCCGCCATGTCTCCAGAGACGCGGGTGCCAGTCTGCTTCTCCCAGGCCTGTCCCAGCTCGGAACCGCCCGCAAGCCTCGATGACGTCCCTCGGAGTGATCCGTGGGACTCTGTGCTCGCTCCACTCGTCGTCGCTGGGGGCCTGGCACCACGGCTCGTCGGCGTTGTAGCTGTCCGCCCAGACCGTCTCCCAGCCCCCCAGCGCAGTGCCCGCTGCCACCTGCGGGTGCGTGAGCTCCTGCTGGGCGCGGGGCCCTGTCGGCTGGATCGGGGCCCACGGCACAGGCGGCTTAGTCCACTTGTGCAGCGCTCCCGCTCCCGCCTGGCTGTGCTTGGTCACCCAGCGTCGCCAGTTTCGAGGCGCTTCCTGCCGTACTCGCCGCCATGTGTGCTGGCTAGCAACTGTCATGAGCTTGGCCACGCAGTCCACGTAGTGCAAACCCCTCTCGGTGATGTGCTCGGCGTCGATCCAGGCGGCTGTGTTCGCCAACTTGCCCCAATCGGTGTCCGTGTATCGCCCCCGCCCCGTCGGTCGGCGGCGCTCTCCTGCCGCTTCCGCCCCGACCAACGGGCAGTCCTGCGAGGCCGTGGGGCCGAGGACAGCGGGGGTCCGCCGAGGAGTACTCTCTGGGAGGCTCGTCATGTCCTCCTCGACTCGGCGCAGTGTGTAGTTTAACTCGTCAAGGTTGTCTGAGTTGTCCTGCTCGCCCGTGGCGTCGTCGTTGCCCCGCCCCTGGTCGGGCTCGGCGCGCCATGCTGGTTGGTTCCGCTCGAGGAGCGGCCCGATGATGTCCTTCCCTAGGATGCCCTTGGCGTTGTTCTGAGCCCAGACCAACGTCTCTTGCTTCCCGTTCTTCCACCACGCCCGCACTGCTGTGCTGACGTGTTCCAAGCGGCGGCCCAGCCACTCAACTGCCTCCGCCCACTGCTGCTCTCGCGCGGCCTCGTGCACCGTGGGTGGCTTGAGCTGCTCCCACGCGTAGATGGGCAGCCGCAGGTGGCCCTTGCTCTCGTGCCAGCCCAGGCCGACGTAGTTGAAGTACTTGTTCAGGTGCTCCTCGTACGTGTTGGCCAGGTTGCCCCAGTAGCGGCCCACATCGTCCTGAGTATGCCTGCGGTGCTCCAGGAGTCGTGGTCACGAAGTCGGCCCCGCCACGCAGCCTGCGGGCAGCTGCAATGGCCATCGCCGTTAGCGCCGTAGTACCCGCACCCAGCGTGCCTCTTCCCGTGGGCGAGGCACTCGCAGGAGCACAGGTGGGTGCGGCGCCGTGTTGTACTGATCCTGCACGGCCACGTGGAGCGGGCCGTCCAGGAGCGTCTTGGACATGATGACGTAGTCGCGGTACCGAGCCTCGCCCGAGGCGACGCACGAGCCGCGTGAGGTGTCGAACACGATGACCCCGTCCATCCTGTTGACCACCCCTGTGTGCTGGAGCTCAGCTGGGTCCATGTTGAAGTCGCCGCCCAGGATCCAATACTTCCCCGCCGCTGCCGCGGCCGCAGTGAAGTTCCGTAGGATGGCCCTGTTGCGGTCCGTCACGCCCTCGCTGACCCAGAGGTAGGCCGCGCCTATGGTGAGGCCCTCCTTGCCGAGGTCCTTGCCGCGGGCTCGGACCCAGCCAATCGCGAGGCGGCCCTTGGACTCGCGGGGCGAGATGCCCCGCGCGTCGAGCCCCCTGGCGTAGCTCATGCTGTTTGGCCGCACAGTCGCCAGGAGCACCCCTGCGCTCCAGCCCCCCCCGTGCGGTGCGGACGCTCGGCGCGGTGCCCAGCCTCCAGCCCTCCTTCTGCATGCGCTGCGTGAAGCAGGAGATGCCGTGCTCGTGTGCCTGCAGCTCCTGCGCCATGATGATGGGATCCTTGTGCGTGTACCTGATGGAGCGCATAGTCCGCTCCAGTGTGCCGATGGAGTTCGCATTGATGGTGAAGAACCCCTGCCCCTGCTGTACGTCAGGAAGAAGGCGGGGCCGTCCACGTGCTCTTGCTGATGGTGAGCGTGGTGTCAGGCTGCATGCCAGCCAGCAGAGGCAGAAGGTGGGGCTGGTGGCGCTCGATCTGCTCGGCTGTGCAGCCCGCATCCTGCCTGATATGTGTGATCTGCGTCGCGTCGGCGTTCTGCGGGAAGGAGACCAGCTCCTGCTTGATCTCCTCCTCGGCTCTGCGCTTGTTCCTCTGCTGCTTGTCGTTGGCGGCCTCCCGCGCTGCGGCGTCGGCCTCCTTCTTGGCCTTGACGGCTGCTGCTGCTGCGGCCGCCGCTGCTCGCTCCTCCCCTGCGGTGTGCTGCTGCTGCTGCGCGTGTCGGAGGGCTTCGGCGATCTTGGTGTCCGTCCCCTGGTCGCGCAGGCACTTCTTGGCTTGCTCCAGGAACGATACGGCCGCTCTCCAGCCCTTGCCTAGCTTGGGCACGCTGAGCTCATCGATGCGGGCACTCTGCTTTTGCAATTTCTCATCTGGTCTGGCCAAGAGGGCCTTCTCTCTGTCAAGCTTCTCCTGGGCCTCCTTGATCTCCTGCTCCAGCTTCTCAACCCGCTCCTGTGTGCGCTCACGCTGCGCCTGCGTTTTGTTCCTCTCTCGGACCAGCATGCACTCCGAGAAGCATCGTGGGATGTCGCTGCCGCTGTCGACAGCTGCCTGCAAGTCATCAACTTCCTTCTGCACGACGTCGATGTTCCCCTGGACGTGCTTGGCAAAGTCTGGGTCCTCCGCCTGCCGTCGAAGTTCGGCGAGGTGTGCCCGTAACTTCTTGAGCTTTGCTTTGGTGGCGTCCTCGGCCTCTGCGTCGTCCTGGGAGCTGGCCGCACCGTGGTTCGCCATCTTCGCGGAGTCGCGAACCTTCCAGCACTTCCAACAGAAATCGAAACTGTCCCCATTCCGAGCTTTGCATCCGCTGCAAACCCAGCCTCCATCCCGCGACTTGAAGCTTGGGGCCATGAAAAAGCTCGAGAGCGTAGTGCCACTCTGAAGTTGGCGCTCTCCAACACCGTCCCGCCTCTCTGCAGGCGCAAAGGCGGCTCGGCGCAGAATGGCTGAGGAACAGGAGGAGGACGAGGAGGAGGAGGAAGAGGAGGGAGGAGGATTCAGGGTTCAGAATTCTAGGGGGGCCCTGTCCCTCAGTTTCAAAGCCAGCAGAGATGTAGTCCCTGACGGAGTTCGGCGCCCTCGCCACTCTGTAAGAGGGGAGCTTACTCGTCGCAATTATCGAAAGGTTCTCTTGCCCCTTACGACTGCGAGCGGGGGGGGGCAAAGACGCTCTAAGTGTCGAGGGTCGGCTGTGGCCGTTTGACCACACTTCACACACAAACGGAGGTTATGAGGATCCCACGCCCAAAGCTGGTGAGAGGGGTGGCCAGACACTTGACCAATCCACGCAGTGCCTGATAGCTGTCTTAACGCTACACCTGCTGCTGTCGGGAAGCTGGTGGTTCCAAGACGGGCGCCTGGGCAAGTTCTGGCGGCAGCGGCAAAGAGGGCAGTACTGGTGACAAGCTCCTGGCAACGCTGGCAGACCCATCCGAGCACTTCTTTGACGAAAGAATGACTGGAACTGGCCAGGGCTCTGGCCCGCCTGGAAATATGGAGTCTGCGCTGTCCCCCCCCGACCACCTGCCCTCCCAACCATCGATATCGAGCGTGTCGATTCAACTCCTACGCAGCCGGGCGCGGATCAAAGCGGTCTCAACATGGATGCGGTCAACCGCGCTGAGATCCCAGCCTGCAGGGAGGGAGAGAGCAAGGCCTCGGGCGGCGGCTTCGCTGGCGAGCGCGTCAGCCGTAGCGTTGCCGACGGCAGCGAAAGCCTCCTCCCAAGTCAAGAGCCGCTCGGGATCCTGCTCGAGGTGGGGGGCCGTCCAGGACGAGGGAGACAGGGGAGGTCCTGCGGGCGACAAGGAGTCGGATCTCCTTCCGCAGGTCTGAATTATGTTCCTTCGGCGCAGCTCGCGAGAAACGGCCTCGCTTCCAGGCAGGGAACAGGGTGAGGTGGTCTGGTATGCACTGAAATGGCATGGGGAGCATTTCTAAAGACAGAATTAAAAGCACGGAGCTCTGCTGTGGGAGCCGCCTGTCTCCGTTCCGAGAGAAGCAGCGAAACTCCCCAAATAGGAACCCAGGGGCTGGGATCAAACGAGTTCTGCTCTAGGGCCACAGCGGCCGAGCCGTACTGGCCACCAGAGCCGTCCCCAAAGATTTTGAGAACGGTCTCAGGAGGCCTACAAAGCTGACTAGGGTCACCGAGCGTGTAGAAGCCATTTCTCCAAGACCTGCCAATCCGAGAATGGGGCACAAGTGAGGGTTCTCGCAGGGACTCCCCGAAGCCAACAAGAGGGTTCAGACTCATAGGAGGCGGCAGCCCGAGGAATGGTGGGAACGATCGTAGTCCTCGTGGCCCTGATTTTTCTCGCATTCCCATGCTCGATGATATGCCGTCTCTGTCCCTGAGAACTTGAGAACATGAGTAACCTGCTGCGAACTGTCTGTCTCGGGGCCATTGTCCTCCCGTGGCGACTGTCAATGTCGTGGCGCTCTCGTGTCGCAACTCTGGCACCACTCCGAGCATGTCCGCTCCCTGCTGGAGGTCGTGGGAGCCGATGTGGTCCGAAGCCTTGCGCCACATCTGAAGTTTCTTGTCGTGGGTGGAATCGTCTATGAGTTCCAATGCGTCAGCCCTGTGGGAGTTCTGGGAGCCAAAGGCTGGGAAAGCCCAGGTATCTGAGCCCTGCTCTGTGGGTCGCGGTAGGAGGGAGGAGAGGGAGGAGGAGGAGGAGGGAGGAGGGGGGGAGGAGGAGGGAGGAGAGGGGAGGAGGAGGAGGAGGAGGAGGAGGAGGAGAGGAGGAGGAGGAGGAGGAGGAGGAGGAGGAGGAGGAGGAGGAGGGAGGAGGAGGACGAGGAGGAGGAGGGGAGGAGGATGGGGGAGGAGGAGGAGAGGGAGGAGGCGGAGGCGGAGGAGGAGGAGGAGGAGGAGGAGGAGGAGGAGGAGGAAGAGGAGGAGGAGGAGGAGGAGGAGGAGGAGGAGGAGGAGGAGGAGGTGCAGCCTAGGGCACGCCACCCGAGGAACGAGAGGGCCCCGCTGGCCACGGCGAGCCTCGGCCACGGAGAGGGAGAGGGGCTCCCCGACCCGGGCCCCGGGGAACCAGCCCGACCGCCAGAGCCCCCATCCCGACTCCCGGGCGGTGCTTCTCTCGGCGTCTCCCCTCGTGGGTGAGCGTTTCGCTTACTCGGCGTGTTTCGACCTGGCGCGGCGAGGGGGGGGGGGAACGGGGGGGGGGGGTCCGGCTCCAGGCCTCTGCTTCGTGCGACTGTTTGCGACAGCGCGTCCCGTGGTGGGAGGGGCTCCACCTGCCCGAAACAGGCGCCAGAGACAGCCAGGACCCACTCCAGGGGGGGGGGGGGGGGGGTCCGCGGGCCCGCGCCGATCGGCAAACAATGAACAGCAAAAACGATCACTTGTGGCCCTTTCTCCGAAATGGAGTTTCAGTTAGAGGGTCCCGATGGTGTTCACAGAGGGCCACAGAAGAGTGCGCGGGTCAAGCAACGTGAGCCCCACCGCCGACATCTCAGAAGCCCCAGGGAGCTGCCCAACGCCAAGAGTGGACTCCAAGGTGCAGGGCCCCAGGTGAGGAGGAGAAGGAGGAGGAGGAGGAGGAGGAGGAGGAGGAGAAACAGGAGGAGGAGGTCCGCCACCGCGCGAGAGGCACGGGCTGGATGGAGTGCCCTCGGACCCCTTCCTCCTCCTCCTCCTCCACCTCCTCCTCCACCTCCTCCTCCTTTCTCTTCCTCCTCCTTTTTTTCCTCCTTCTCCTCCTCCTTCTCCTCCTCCTCCTCCTCCGCCTCCGGGGTCCGAATTTTCGGGGTCCTGGCGTGCCTCTTTTTTTCGGAGCCAGGAGCGCCCCCAGATTGGGCCCAGAGGGCCCCGATGCCTTGGGCTCCCTGGGGTCGTTTTGCAACTCCGGGGGCCAAATTGGGCCTGCGTGGCCGCCGGAACGTGGGCCGAGAACGTGAGTTCTGTGGCCGACATCCCAAGGCCCCACGGAGCTGCCCACAGCGACCAGTATAGGAGGCTGCTGCTTAGAAGGCGCCTCCCTTACATCTATAGATTCGGCCCGCGCCTGCTAACCCAGACCCCCGACGTAATGATTTTTTCATTACGTCGACCTCCAGAGGTCCCGACCCTTTCCCCATGACCGGCTTTGCATCCTGAGTCGTTTTTTGAGGCTCCCGAGGCCCGGTGAGGGCCCCCGGAGGCCGAAAATTAGGAAAAACCTCCCGTCATGATTTTTTCATTACTCGAGGGGGTCTGGGAAGGAGCAGGGGTGCTTCTCGGAAGCCCTCCCCCCTCCCCTCCCACCCCCCCTCTGCGCGTGGCTGACCCCCGTCTCGCGGCTCCCGGACGGATCCCCGAGTCGAGCTATCGGGCCCCCAGGGCCGTCCACAACGGATCCTGGACGTAAGCCGGGCCTGTCCCCCTACAGGAGGATTTTCGACGCAAAAGAAAAGTACCCCAAAAATAATGAAAAACTAGTCCAAACATAGTCTGGGGATTATTTCTGGAATATTTTTCGACCTTTTCGGAATACTTTTGAAGTATTCTTATTTTCTCGTCGAGAATCCTCCTGTAGGGGGACGCGCCCGACATAATCCTGGACAAAAGAAAAGCCCCTGGGGGAGGGGCCCCACGAGCCCCCAGGACCGCGCGACTGGAACCAAAACATGTTGCCGTCGGCTGCCTGCAAGCTCCTCGCCCTGGCGAGCCTCGTCGCCACGGCCGGCTTCTCCTCGGGACTTGTTCGTCGGCATGCGCCCCAGGAGAGCTCCGGGGAGTAGCGGCACGGCAGGCGCACACGGTAAGAGATCTTGATCTAAGAAGTATGTGGGGCACACTCTTCGTCGATCAGAGACTTCAGCGCGCACATGCTGGCAGGCCGATTTCTTCTTTGATGTGTCTGCTATGCAGTTGCTCGTCCTGGAGAGCCCTCGTCGCCACGACTGGCTTCTCCTCGAGATTCTGGTGAGAGTGCGCCCTGGGAGTGGAGCAGCGGCCCTGGTACCCAAACATGCGACGCCTTGACTTTTTCAATACGGGCCGGGCCCCCCGGAAGTCCCGCCTCTCTCCCGAAGGCCAATGATGCATCCCGAATCGCTTTTGAACGGTCCCGGGGCCCAGCAAGAGCCCCCAGAGGCCGACAAGGGCCCACAACCGCCTGTTCTGCTTCCCTTTTATGGCGCGAGCACGCCTGCTGGGATGGGCGCGGGGGCTGCTGAGGGGATTTGGGGTTATCAGTGGATGCCAAGATGGGTTATATCTGGCCTTGCCTAGCTCAAACATGGGTTGCAGATGCCCGTGTGGCTCATGGATGTTAACGATCTGGGCTAAGTGGGCTCCATCACTTGGGGCATCTGTAGACCACTGAGACGCTGGGTTTGGCCAGAGATAACCCACCACGGCATTCACTGCTAACCCACACGTGTCGCCGCGCCGTTTGCTCTGAACGCGCCCAATGTGGACGCCGCCAACACGACGGCAAACCCGCGGCAAGCCCTGCGCCCCGCGCCCCGAACGGACGAGACCGACACCGTGGGCAGACCCCACGGCGAGCCCAACGCGCCCGAGGCGGCGTGTGCCCGGGTGGCCCAAGCGCCCCCCCCCAGACGTGCGGCCGCGCGTCGGAGCGGACGGCGCGGCTACGTCGCCGGCTTCGAAAGCCCTGCACCCAAAAACGTTCTCTCAGGACGAGCTCGAGGACGAGGATGAGGACGAGGAGGAGGAGGAGGAAGAGGAGGAGGACGAAGAAGAAGAAGGAGACGAAGAAGAGGGGGAGGAGGAGGAGGAGGAGGAGGAGGAGGAGGAGGAGGAGGAGGAGGAGGTACATCTCCGACACCCGCCGCCTCCCGCCGAGCTTCCGGCGGCTTCCGCCGGCGCAGGCCCGCCTCGCTCTGCATCCGCCGCCCCTCCGCCGAGGTCGCAGGCGAGGCCCTCTCTGAAACGCCCCGTGT